GTGGGCGGCGCAGCCAGATCTCCTCGTGTAGGCTGCCTTGTAGGAAAGCAGTGCTGAAGTCAAGAGAGTGAAGCTCGTAGTCACGCTGAGCAGCGACGTGCAGCAGAACCCGAAGAGTGGTCATCTTCGGGGTCGGGGAGAAGGTCTGGAAGAAGTCAACTCCCTGTCGCTGACTGAAGCCTCGAGCAACGTAACGCGCCTTGAAGACAGGCGGAGAACCCGGCGGCCGCTTCACCCTGAAAATCCACATGTCACTGACGATGTTCGCCCCAGGAGGGGGAACCTCGACGACGTAGGTGCCTGTGGACTTCCAGGATGCCATCTCTGCGTCCATGGCTGACTGCCACTGAGAGGAGTAGGGACCCTCTATCGCCTCTGCGTAAGAGCGCGGGGTCGGGATGTCTGGTGCATCCGGGTCTCCCTTAGGTGGAGTCAGCATGGACACGAGATGAGGTACAGCAGCTGCAAAGCACTCAAAGTCCTCCTGCGTGTCCTCAAGGACGTCCGTGCCAAGAGCACACTCACCCCCGATAGACGGAGGACAGACAGACTCAGACTCAGCAACACGACTCGCGGCGTAGTCTAGACGACAGTGAGCGGCAAAGTCGACAAGCTCAGCAACTAAGGCAGACGCGGCAGTGGACTCAAAGGAAGGGTCAGTGACAACAGTGGCCAGGAGACGCGTGACAGTAGGACTAGCAGCACGAAGGGAGTCAGACTCCGGGTCAGCAAGGGCAGGAAGAGAGGACGCAGGAGGAGACGGCAGAGGGACACGCTGCGGAGCAGTAGAAGGGCGCAGAGCCATCCGGTGTGTGCCAGGGACAGGAGGAGGACGCTGACGCGAACCACGACGACTAGTGCTAGCAACACGAACAGGCGACGCAGGACAAGACGCAGGCTCACGATGCTCAGCAAGACCTCCGGTCGGACCAGTGTAAGGAGAAGGAGCAGGCAGTGGGGAGGCGGGCTGTAACTGTTTGCGACTGGACACGCGGTGGACACTCTAAGGAAGGAGCGGGACCAGTAGAAGGCGGGAGAACAAGAACCTGCTGAAGGAGCGGAACGTAGTACGGTCGCGGCCGCGTAGCACCTCTAGAACCAGCAGGGACAGCACCAGCACCCCCAGCGGGAGCTCCAACTCCAGCAGCACCACCAGCTCCAGCAGCACCTCCAGCTGCTCCAGTAGCACCAACTCCAGCACCCACAGGAGCACCGGCTCCAGCAGCACCTCCAGCTCCAGCACCCCCAGCAGCTCCAGCTCCAGCAGGACCACCAGAAGCCCCAGCAGCGCCAGCAGCTCCAGCCCCGGTACCTCCAGCAACACCTGCTCCAGCAGTACCGCCAGCTCCAGCACCTCTAGCAGCTCCAGCCCCAGCAGCACCACCAGGCCCAGCAACTCCAGTACCTCCAGTACGAGCACCTCCGCGACTAGTGGCTCCAGAACCCCCAGCAGCTCCAGCAGCAGCAGGACCTCCAGCGCCCGTAGCACCACCAGCTCCAGCAGCACGGCTCCAGCGGCAAACAAACCACTCGCGCAGCTGCTGTGGAGAGAGTGGCTCCCGCCGGGACGAAGCACCCGAAGGACCTCCAGGCGCAGCACCTCCAGACTCCACACGCGTAGGCTCAGCACCCTCAGGCTCCGCACCCCCAGACTCAGCAACCCCAGGCCCAGCACCCCTAGACTCAGCACCCCCAGGCTCCGCACGCTCAGGCTCAGCACCCCCAGACCCGGCACCCGCAGGCTCAGCACCCCTAGCAGCACCAGAGTCAACAGCTACCTCGACAGGCTCGACTGCGTCTACCTGGGACACACCTGAGGGGGCAGGACCCTGAGGGGGGAGGGGGTCTACCGGGGGAAGACCTGGCGCGAGGAAGAGCGGCGGGGGGGGGAGGGGGGCAGTGTGGTAGGGGAAGAGACGGTAGTAAGGAACCGACTCGTCAAACGTGACGTCCTGAGAGGACAGAACACGGCACGAGGTGGGGTGGTAAAACTGCCAACCAGGCGCGTCAGGGGGGAAGCCAAGGAAGACGTAGGGAATAGCACGGGAGGACAGCTTGCCGCAGACAAGTCGCGGACGAAAGCCCGAGATCCCCAGACACGGAACGCAGACGCATCGCCAACCTTCCCCGTCCACCGCAGAGTAGGTGTGGTCTCCGGCAAGGAGACATGAGGTTGAAGGTTGATCTGATGCGCAGCGTACTGAACCGCGAACGGCCACAGAAAATGGGGAGCAGCCGCATGGATCATGGACGTACGAGCGACGTCCATGACCATGCCAGTGCGGCGCTCAGCAATCCCATTTTTCTGCGGAGAGGCCTAAACGTGAACGTCTGGCGGGTGCCCTCCGCACGACAGAAGGCTCGCAGAAGGTCGGAGGAAAACTCTCCACCTCTGTCGGAGTGCAGATGCAAAATAGGAAGGTCCGAGCCGAAACTCTCGTTGAGCTGACGACGGGCAGCGCGGATCCAGTCGATCAGCACCTCAGTGACCTCACCCTTGCGGCGCAAGGGGAAGACGGTGGTGTAACGCGAGTATTCGTCAACGACCAGCAGAAAGTAGCGCTCGTGACCCTGGCCACGGACGCGGGCTGGGCCCCACACGTCCATGTGAAGCGTCTGCAGGGGAGCCTCCGTCAGAGGGAACTCGGAGGAGTGAGGAGCGGCGCGCTGCCGCCCCTCGACGCAAGGAACGCAGGTAGGGGCAGGCCCCGGGGGAAGGGGAGGGAGAGACCGGGGAAGACCAGTGACAAGGAGACGGGAGGCCATGCCTCGGAGACGAGGCAGGGAGGGGTGACCAAGGCGGTGGTGCCAGAGGGGAGTCTGGTGAGACAGGAGGCGACACGAGCAGGGGGCAGACTCAGGACCAGACCGGGACGCTGCAGCAAACACCTGACCCGACGCAGCGACCTGACCAGACTCAGCAACCGGAGGAGACACGGTAGTCAGGGTGTATAGGCTCGACCCAGGCTGACGGGTGAACGTGGCCAGGTGCCGGCCCGTCCGAGTACACGAACAGTGGGTCACCCGCTGACCTCCAGGAGTGAACTGGTCAACCCACGCGTCCTGAAGGTCAGCTCCACTCACCAAGTTCGTGGAGAACGAGGGGAGGTGGAGGCCAGACAGAGAGCTAGACGGGACCGCCGGACACGGCAGAACCGTGGAGGAGTGTGCAAGGACCGGACCCCCAGAGGGGTCAGCCAAAGAGACTGCCACTGGCCGACTGAGCGGCGTGAGTGTGGTGCAGTCGCGAAAGAAGGAGCGGGAAGCACCCGAGTCAAGGGTGAAAGTGTGCAAGGCCGCAGCAGGCGCAGTACCAGAGAGAGCAGACTCACCAGCACCTGGAGGAGTGGACTCCCTAGCGCCTAGAGCAGCAGCCTCACCGGCACCTGGAGCAGGAGACGTACCAGCACCTAGAGCAGCAGCCTCACCAGCACCTAGAGCAGCAGACTCGATACCTGGGTCAGGCGGCACACACAGGTAACAGACACCGTCAGCACTAGTAGGCAATGCATACATGGCAGTGAGGATAGCATCATAGTCAAGAGCATAGATATCTACCCTTTGCCTAAGCGGCTCCACCCAGTCGGGGAGCTCAGCCGCGTCGCCAAACTCTGTACGCCAGGCGTCGCTCAAACGGGAGAAGCAGCTGGACTCTGTGTGACCAATCGTCCCGCAAGGCTGACTAGTCCGAGCACCAGTGCGAATGGCGTACGGGCAGCGAGCAGTACTCCGTGACCCTCTATTCTGAGCGTACCACTCACGAAGCTGCTGGGGCGAAAGGACCGCGCGCGGACGCTGCTGCAGCTGCACCTGGTCACTACAAGAAGCTCCCGAACGACCCGCTCCAGGGCGACTCCCACCACGGCCACCCCTACAACCCCAACTAGCGTACCACTCACGTAGCTGCTGGGGCGTGAGGGACTCACGCGGACGTTGCTGGAGCTGCATCTGGCCACCGCCAGGAGCAGCAGTAGCAGTAGTAGCCGCAGTAGCAGCAGTAGCAGCAGTAACAGCAGTAGCAGCAGTAGCAGCGCGGCCACCCCTACAACCCCAACTAGCGTACCACTCACGTAGCTGCTGGGGCGTGAGGGACTCACGCGGACGTCGCTGGAGCTGCATCTGGCCACCGCCAGGAGCAGCAATAGCAAGAGTAGCAGTAGCAGCAGCAGTATCAGTAGAAACAGTAGTAGCAGCACGGGCAGGGCAGTGTGGCAGCGCGCTAGTAAGGCAGGCGCGCGGGAAGCGCGGGTAGGGCAAGTGCTCACCAGTGGCGGGAAGGGCAGTCGCTCGCCGAACAAGCAGGGTAGGCGCACGACGGCGGCGACAGCGGGGCCGGGACAGCTACAGGGCGGGGCCGCGACAGCGGCAAGGGGCTCATCGGCAGCTGCTGCAGGGCGGGGCCACGACTGCTGTAGACGGCTCCGCTGCAGCTGCAGCAGGGCGGGGCCGCGACGGCGGCAGGGGGGCTCCGCGGAAGCTGCTGCAGGGCGGGGCCGCGACTGCTACAGGCGGCTCCGCGGCAGCTGCTGTAGGGCGGGTCCGCTACGGCGGCAGGGGGCTCCGCGGCAGCTGCTGCAGGGCGGGGCTCCGAGGCAGCTGCTGCAGGAGGGGGCGCCGCGACGAGCAGGGGCGACGCCCCGGGGGCGCCGCGACGAGCAGGGAAGGCGCTCCGGGGGCGCCGCGACTGTCACGAGACGAACTTAGCTAGGAATGGGTTTAACTAAGGGCCTAGGCTTAGTAGCCTAGGCCAAGCGGGTGTCGAGTAGTTTGTGCCAAGGAGAATTGAAAATGGTTGGAGGTTCACTATAGCACACGAGTACATATAGCAACCTAACAAAGGTGAAAGTGGTGCACCACCATACAAGGGAATTACACAACAGCTACACTACAGGCAGATTATACTAAATAGATATAACTCTATTGTGACACACCCCCTATCTGCCTGAAGTGCATAACCATGTGCAGAGCCCCCCTTGAAGGGGTACACCTGTAAAACCCCATTACAGGGCGTGGGAACACCAGCAAGGGGCCCCCTCTGAAGCTGACAAGCAGCAACCACCAAGCAGCATCTGAACCACCGCGGTGGAACAGGTGCCCGGCTGCGGTTGAACGCCCCGCAGCTGGTGCACGGTGTGCGAGGAGCACGGGTACGGGTAGCGGGTTCGGGTAGCAACTAGGTGCTGTACGGGACGGGCCGCACGGGGGTGACGAGCAGCACGAGACCGGGCAGCACAGACCGGGTGGGGCGAGAGCGAGAACTGACAGCACGGGTGGGGCACCAACGGGTACGGACAGCACGGGTAGGGCACAAACGGGCAGAGCGGGGCAGCACGGGCAGAACAGGGCAACACGGGCAGAACGGGGCAGGACACGGACTGAACGGGGCAACACGGGCAGAACGGGGTAGGACACGGGCTGAACGGGGCAACACGGGCAGAACAGGGCAAAACACGGGCTGAACGGGGCAGACACGGGCTGAACGGGGCAACACGGGCAGAACAGGGCATAACACGGGCTGAACGGGGCAGGACACGGGCTGAGCGGGGCAACACGGGCAGAACGGGGCAACACGGGCTGAACGGGGCAACACGGGCAGAACGGGGCAGGACACGGGCTGAACGGGGCAAGACACGGGCTGAACGGGGCAACATGGGCAGAACGGGGCAACACGGGCAGAGCGGGGCAGGACACGGGCTGAACGGGGCAACACGGGCAGAACGGGGCAACACGGGGACAACGGGGCAGCACAGGCAGAACGGGGCAGGACAAGGGCTGAACGGGGCAACACGGCACGGAAACGGGCACGACACAGGCAGAACGGGGCAGCACGGGGGCAGCATGGGAACACGGGGGCAGCACGGGAACACGGAGACAGCACGGGAGCAGCACGGGAACACGGGGGCAGCACGGGAGCACGGGGGCAGCACAGGAGCACGGGGGCAGCACGGGAAGCACGGGACGCACGGGTGAAACGGGTGGGGCACAACCGGGTACGGACAGCACGGGCACGTGGAACACGAGCGGACAGCACGGGCATGGGCACGGGGCAAGCACGGGGAACACGGGGCAGACAGCACGGGCATGGGCACGGGGCAAGCACGGGGAAGTACGGGCAATACGGGAGGTACGGGGCAGGGGATGAGAGGAGGAGGCGGCTGATGCTGCATATGAACTCTCACCACCCACACCCCCTGAACCTTTCCCCCCACAGCAGCATTGACGGAGAAAGAGAGGTGGAGGTGTAGTGGCGGTAGGTGCTGCAGCTGAATCACCCACCCCCTCAACCTCCCCCCCAACAGCAGCAGATGCAAGAGTGAGAAAGAGGAGGAGGGGGCGGCTGGTGCTGCAGCTGAACTCACCCACCCACACCCCCTGATCCAGCAGCGGCGGAGAGAGAGAGGGGGAGGTGTGTGTTGGTGCAACCCTACGGTTTGCATTCGGCTTGTTGTCCGTGTGCGTGCATGCGTGTGTGCATGGAATGGTATGAGGGCATGAAATAATATATATTTCATGCTTACAATAGTGTGTGAATGATGAGGCATGATTTTGAATGTGTGTGTCGAGTCAATAGCGAGTTATCGCTAGTCGCGTGTCACGTCGTCGTTTGCGTGTCGTGTGCGGTTTTCTATTTTGTCGTGTGTGGAACGTTCGGCGTGTCGCAGGTGTGCGCAGCAGACTTCCAAGAACTCAAGAAAGAATTTACCTTGAAGAACGAGAGCCCTGGTTTCAAGAATCAAGTGATTTCGAAGCTCTCTAAAAGGGTAAACTTTAAGATAGTGAGAATAGTTGCATTACTTTGTGTAGTGTAACATTTCTCTTGGTGTAGGCCCTTGTGGAGGGTAGTTTCGAGACCCTTCGTGGTTGGGGACAGTATGGCACTGTTCCACATCACTGTACCTCGGCTCTTGGGGTTTGTAGGAGCTGGGAGTCATTCCCAACTCGTAACTCTTCCTATCTTGTGTTCTAAGACTATCGTGGCTGCCATAGTGCCGTTCGTTCAAACCAACGTTGCGTCGTCAATTCTTGATGAAATCGTGTGATTCAACTTGCCTCGTGTAGGCGACATCAAGACGCTCCAGGTCCAATTTATAGCAAGTCGTTTGCAGCTGTGAGCAGAAGGCTATCAACGTTTGAAGCCGCTGTGCAGAAATCCGTCTGTGCACTCTATCTTTCGTTTTAGGCACATTCAAGCCTATTGTGACTATAACAAGTGGTATCAGAGCCCCTTGGAGCAGTTTCGACAATGGCTGGACCTGAGGAAAGGGGTGGCAGAGTTGCTGGTGGCAGTGGAGAAGCCCAAGCTCAAGGCCAACCCCGTGACTCAGCCATGGCGCCCGTGCAACCAAGTCTTGGCCCACCTAGGGATGAACCTAGGGTGTTTGGGCTTGACAAGTTCAACGGCGACAACTTTGCTGAATGGTCCTTCAAGATGGAGAACATCTTTGATCATTATGACCTGCTGGAGGTGATGGAAGGAACGGAGAAGCGCCCCGAGAACGACCCGGAGAAGAGCCCGTGGGTGCGGAAGAGCGCACAAGGCTATCTCCTACTTGGGCAAGCGTTGGGGAGCAGCCAGATCCGTCACATCAAGCCATTCCAGCGTGAACCAGAGAAGGGACCAAAGGCATGGGCTGCTCTCAAGGGTGCACATGCTCCTGCAACAGCGGCGGTAGCGGTGGTGTTGGAACGGCAAATGGCGGCACTACGAATTGAAGAAGACGAAGCGGTTGAAGAAGGGGTGCAGAAATTCTTCGACTTGTTGACGTGGCTTGAGGGAGCTGATTTGAACTACAGTGAGCTCCAAAAGAAGACCAAGTTGCTGGCCTTACTCCCAGAGTCATGGTCCTCGCTCATCATCAACCTCAATCGTGACTTGCCCCGCCTCTCGCTTGAAGACGTGAAGCGAGCGATCCTTCAAGAGGACTTCCGCCGCCGTGAGTTGGCGAGTGCGGATGGCGCCGGGGCAGCAAGCATCGGCCAAGGGTATGGCCGTGGAAGGGGCAGAGGACGAGGAGGAAGCAGATTTGGCAGCAACAACTTCAGTGGAGGCCGCGGGAGTGGTGGATACGGCAGCGACAACAAGAGCTACGGACGCGGTCGCGGCCGATTCGACGGCGAGTGCCACTATTGTCACAAGAGCGGACATATGTGGCGCGATTGCTACAAGCTCCCTGATGGATGGACTCCTGCTCAAGGCCAAGAGGGTAGAGGAGCAGGAGGAGGGAGAGGAAGAGGCCGTGGAGGCCGTGGCGGTCGCGGAGGTGGTGCTGCAAGTATGAAGAGTGCCGGCAACGAGAGCGAGTCGAGGGACGATCGCTTCCCGGGTCAATTCTTCTTCGTGTCCACGCAAGCACCGGCTGGTCCAGAGAAGGATGAAGGCTTTGAGGAGCCAGCAGCTGTGGGAAAGGTCACCCTACACTCCCTGGACTATTGGGTGATCGATAGCGGCGCTACCTATAGCATGACACCTCGTGCGGACTTGCTCACCGAACTTGAGCCATCACCGGTGAAGCATGTGACATCGGCTTTGGGGCAGCGAGCAGAGGTGAAAGGCATGGGCAAGGCCATGTTCAAGGGTGCTGATGGGAAGATGGTGGGCCTCAAGAACGTGCTTTGGGTGCCCAACCTTGCTGCCAACCTGATTTCCGTGCGGCGATTGCAAAAGGCCGGCATGGACACGAGCTCGAAGGGAGCTAAGACCTACACGGCGAGGCTTGGCGAGCGGATTCTTTGGGACCTTCACGAGGATAGGGATGTCTACAACGAGATGTGGCAGATCCCTGTGGTACCTATGCCTAAGGAAAGGCAAGTGGCAGCAAGCATCAGCACCAAGGGTGAAGCGGTTGGTAGCGGCGATGGCGCGAATGGTCGCGCTAAGGAGATTAAGTCCAAGAAGTGCAATCTTGGAGGGACCAGCAAGCTCGGTGAACACGAGGAGAGTGGTGCAGCAGCCAAGAAGCAGCACAAGGATGAGGAGAACCCCATGGCAGCAGCGGAGGAGGAGTACGGAGAGAACATGTGGGGCACTATTGCGAGTGCGGCATTCTCCAATCCGACTTCGGCTACGGGGGAGTGTGATTGGCTCACCTTGCATCGGCGAATGGGGCATGTGGCCCTGCCCATCTTGCAGCAGCTATTGAAGAATGAGATGGTTGCTGGCATACGTGTAAAGGGGGAGCCCGATGAGGTACTTGGCTGCCCGACGTGCATGCAAGCCAAGTTCACCCGTTACCCGTTCTCTAGTTCGGAGGCAATGGCTAAGGCACCACTTGATGAGGTGGTGATGGACGTGGTGGGCCCCCTGAAGCTTGGAGCTGCTGGAGCTGAGTACTTTCTCACCATTGTGGACGTCTACACTCGCATGACTTGGGTGTACGTGTTGTCCAAGAAGAGTGACGTGGCTGAAACGGTGAAGACCGATTGGTTGCCGATGGTGGAGCGGCAACAAGACCGGTTAGTGAAGGCAATTCGCACCGATCGAGGGGGAGAGTTCCTGAGCAAGGAGTTCTCATTGTGGCTGAAGAAGAATGGCATAAGGCACTCCCTTACCATGCCATACTCCCCTGCAATGAACGGCATCGCCGAGCGAGCGAACCGGACAATCACGGAGACGGCGCGTGGGTTGCTCATTGAAGCCGGGCTACCCGACTACTTCTGGCCTGATGCGGTGCGGAGTGCATGTGTGGCCAAGAACAGAGCCTTGACTCATGTGGGAGCAGACAAATGGGTGCCCTATGTGGAGTGGATTGGAAGGAAGCCAAAGGTGGATATGCTTCGGGTGTTCGGGTGCATGTGCATGGCGCTCGTGCCTAAGCATCTTCGGCACAACAAGCTCGGTGCCAAGGCGATATGGGCTGTGCACTTGGGCATGGCTCAAAACAGCAAGGGGTGGCTTCTTTGGGACCCATTCACCAAGAAATTCTTGGTGAGCAGGGACTGCAAATTCATGGAGAATCTGATGTACAAGGATTGGAAGGCGGAGAATGAGGCGAAGATAGGCATGCGGTTTGGGGAGGTGAAGAGTTCCGGTTTGGAGCATGTGGAGCTGCCCTTGGAGCTGAGCAGCAGCAGCACCACCACAATGCAATCTTCCCTTGTGAATGGGGGAAAGGAGGCCAAGGATGCAGAGGAAGAAGAGGAGGAGGTGCAGCAAGTGAGCGAGCGTGCACCGACACTTCCTTCTCGCACTACGAGTGCTCCACGGATCCGAGTCACCCCGCAGCAACGCCAAGGCCTTCATGTCCCTGCAGCTGAGGAGGAAGGAAGGGGCAAGAGGAGAATTCAAGCCCCTAATAGGCTGACCTATGATGCACTGGGAAAGCCAGCCAAGTCAGCCTTGGCCGGAGCGGCACTTATAGTTGGAGATGACGAGGAGAGTGACTACGAGGAGTGTGCCTTCGTGTTCTTCTCTCCGGTGGAGATGCCGGGAGAACCAGCAACTCTCAAGGAGGCCTTGGAGAGTAGTGATGCTGAGGAGTGGAAGAAGGCAATGGAGAGTGAGCTGAAGAGCATTGAGGAGAACGGCACGTGGGAATTGGTGGAGCTACCGGAGGGGCGTAAGGCGATTACGTCCAAGTGGCTCTTCAAGATCAAGTCCGACGCCGACGGCAAGATCGAGCGCTACAAGTCTAGGCTTGTGGCGAAGGGGTACCAGCAGAAGGAGAAGGTGGACTATAAGGAGTTTTTTGCTCCTGTGGTGAAGCCGACGACGCTGAGAACCCTACTCGCGGGAGCTGCCATCAAAGGATGGGTGGTGAAACAAATGGATGTCACAACGGCATTCCTCAACGGCGTCCTTGAGGAAGAGATTTTCATGGCGCAACCAGAGGGGTTTGATGATGGTAGTGGCGGAGTTCTGAGGCTGAAGAAGGCCCTTTATGGACTGAAGCAAGCCCCTAGGCAGTGGTACTTGAAGCTGCGAGGAGTTTTGGAGGAGATAGGCTTCACTCCCTCATCCGCCGATCATTCCTTGTTCATGCTTGGCGAGGGGGAGCAGAGGAGTTTTATGGTGGTTTATGTGGATGACATCCTCATTTT